GGGCTGTTGGTATTATAAGACTCAGCAAAAGTTCAATTCTCCTAGCAGGACCCGAGGAGGGGTTCATCTGTATCACATAGTCCTAGAACCACAGTAACTGATGCTAAAAACCATGGCATCACTCAGGCTTACCAGTAGGACAAGGGGCAGCCACCCTTGTCTCCCTCAGATCAAGGCCCTGGCTATCACATTTTCCAGGGAAACTAACACTGAATACTCTGTGGGCCAAAGATACCAACTCAAGGAAATCCTAATTCATCTCAAAGGCATACTTCTATCCCTATGAACTCCAGCAGACTAGACCACTGTGTCACTTATAGACACAGCTGACACTGATAAAAACAAAAGAAATCACTCAGAGACTATACTGGTCACACCTACAACCAAAGCCAAACAACAAGCCAAGTGAAACCCTGCATTCCAGCTAAACCACCAAGTCTTCTCCAATAAAACCAACTCCATAAAGAAGAAGGAACTAATACACTAAATAGGCAGATGGCAACATAGGGACAAAAGAGACATGAAGGCAGGATAACACAAGGCCTCTGAGAACACAATAATCCTCCAGAATTAGATCCTGAACTGAAGGAAATCCATGAAATGACAGATATAGAACTCAAAATAATGATTACAAGGAGACTCAATGAAATTTAAAAGAATACAGATACAAAGATTAAAGAAATGAGGAAATCAATGAGTGACATGAATGAAAATATTATTAAGGAGCTATAGCTCATTAAATAGAACAAAATAGAAACTTTGATGATGAAATCTTCAATCAGTGAAATAAAAATTATGATTGAGAGCTTTCACAGCAGAATAGAACAAGTAGAAGAAAGAATTTCTGATCTCAAGGACAAGAATTTTAAATAACCCAATCAGACAAAAATAAAGGGAATATAATTTAAAAGAATGAAAAAAGTCTACACAAAATATGGGATACAATTAAATGACCACATATGAGTATTATTGTTATTCCTGAAGGAGAAGAAAAGGAAAAAGACATTGAGAACCTTCTAAATGAAATAATAGTTGAAAATTTCCCAAGTCTTGAAAGAGACATGGTTATCCAGATACAAAAATCTCAAAGAATTCCAAGGAAACTCAACCAAAAAAGTCTTCTCCAAGGCATATTGTCACCAAATTGTCAAAAGTTAAAGGCAAGAAGGAATCTAAAAGACAGTAAAAGAAAAATGTCAAGTTACATATAAAGGAAAACCAATTAGATTAACAACAGACTTAGCAGCAGAAACTCTTCAGACCAGAAGAGAATGGGATGATATATTCAAGATCTTAAAAGAAAATAACTTCCAACCAAGAACATTATATCCAGTGAAGCTATCCTTTAAAAGTGAAGGTGATGGCCAGCACTGCGGCTCACTAGGCTAATCCTCCGCCTGCCGCACCGGCACACCAGGTTCTAGTCCCGGTCCGGGCGCCGGATTCAGTCCCGGTTGCTTCTCTTACAGGCCAGCTCTCTGCTGTGGCCCAGGAGTGCAGTGGAGGATGGCCCAAGTGGTTAGGCCCTGCACCCCATGGGAGACCAGGAAAAGCACCTGGCTCCTGCCTTCGGATCAGCATGGTGTGCTGGCCGCAGCACTCTGGCCGCAGCGGCCATTGGAGGGTGAACCAACGGCAAAGGAAGACCTTTCTCTCTGTCTATCTCTCTCACTGTCCACTCTGCCTATCCAAAAAAAAAAAAGTGAAGGTGAAATGAAGCATTTTCCAGGTAAGGAAAAACCAATAGAATTCACTGCCTTCAGGACAGTCTTACAAGAAATTCTGAATGGTGTCCTGTGTTAGAAGTAAACATGAAACACATGTCACCATCAAATTCACTAACAGAGCAGGTAGAATCCTTATCCAATCAACAAAATGACAGGTCTTAGTTTTTATTTAGCAATACTAACCTTTAATGTAAAGGGATTAAATTCATCAAACAAAAGACTTGGGTTGGCTGAATGGCTAACAATAAAAATTCAGGACCCCACTATATGCTGCCTACATGAAACTCACTTCACAAACAAAGACACACACAGACTGAAAGTGAAGGGTTGGAAAAAGATATACCAGGCAAATGGAAACACAAAGCAAGCAGATGATATCCTGATATCAAATAAAGCAGGCTTTAAATTAAAAATTGTAAAAAGAGGTAAAGAAAGAAATTATATTCTGATAAAAGGTTTGATTAATCAAGAAGGTGTAACAATAACAAATATATATGCACCCAACACAAGACCATCCAGATATATACAGCAATTACTAATAGACCAAAAGGGAGAGATAAGACTCCAATACTATAATAGTGGGTGACTTCAACACCCTACTCTCAACAATAGACAGATCATCAAGGAACAAAACAATAAAGATACATCTAAGTTAAAACATATTATAAAGGAAATGGACCCAACAGACATTTACAGGATATTTCATCCAATATCTACAGAATACATATTGTTCTCATCAACACATGGAACATTTTCTAGGACATTCCACATATTAGGCCACAAATCAAGTCCCAACAAATTTAAAAACATTAAAATCATACCATGTATCTTTTCAGACCATAAGGAAATAAAACTAGAAATCACCAAGAAGAGTAATGGAATATTCATAAATATTTGAAAATTAAAAATGCTACCAAATGATCATTGGGTCATTGAAGAAATAAAAAGGTAATCAAAAATTTTCTTGAAATAAATGAAAATGAAAAGACAACATCTCAAAACCTGTGGAATACAGCAAAAGCAGTATTAGGAGTGAAGTTTACAGCATTAAATGCTTATATTAAAAAAAAAAACAGGTAAATGTATCAAATTAAAGATCTAATGATGTACTGTGAAGACTTAGAAAATCATGAACAATCCAAACCCTAAATCAGCACGAGGTGAGAAATAATAAAGTTCAAAGTGGAAATAAATGAAATTGACACTAGAAAAATATAAAAGATAAAAAAATTAAAGTTGGTTTTATTGAGAAGATAAACAATATAGATAAACCTCTAGCTAGACTAACAGAGAAAATTCAAATAAATAAATTATAGATGAAAAAGGAGACATTACAAGTGACAGCACTGAAATACAAAGGATCATAAAAAAACTACTCTAAAGAACTATATGCTAGTAAACTAGAAAGCCTAGAAGATGGATGAATTCCTGGATTCTTATACTCTACCAAGATTAAATCAAGAAGATACAGACAACCTAGCCAGATCCATAACAAGCAATGAGATTGAAGTAGCAACAAAATTATCCCATCAAGAAAAATATCTGGGGCCTGATGTCTTTACTACTGAATTCTATAAAACATTCAAGCAGGAAGTAATGCCAGTCTCTTGAAAGTATTCCACAATATTGAGCAGAACAGAACTCTGCAAACTCTCTTTATGAAGCCAGCATTACTTTGATACCAAAACCAAGCAAAGACATGATATGAAAAGAAAACTACAGATCTATATCCTTAACGGACATAGATGCAAAGATCCTCAACAAAATACTAGCAAATTTAATTCAAAACTACATCAAAAACATAGTGAGATTTCTCCCAGAAATGCAAGGGCGGTTCAACATTCTCAATCAATAGATGAAATAAATCACATCAATAGAATGAAGCAGAGAAAGCATGTGATAAGATTCAACACCTCTTCATGATAAAAGCTCTCTACAAATTAAGTATAAAAGGAATAGTCCTCAAATTTATAAAGGCTATATATGACAAACCAACAGCCAATATCATACTGAATGGAGATAAACTGAAAGCATTTCCTCTCAGATCTGCAACAAGACAATGATGTCCACTTTCCCACTCTTATTCAATATAATACTGGGAGTTTTAGTTTGCAGATGACATGATGTTGTACATGAGAAAACCTAAACATTCCACCTAAAGCTATTGGAATCGATAGACCAATCTAGTACAGTTGCAGGTCCCAAAGGTTTTCTTGTATGTTACTGATGGAATCACAACAGAAACAGAAATCAAAAAAGCAATCCCATTCACAATAGCCACCAAAAAAAGCAGATATTTAGGAATAAATTTCACCAAAGAAGTGAAAGATCTCTACAATGAAAATGATCTAACGTTGATTAAAGAAATCATCAATCACTCAAAAAAATGGAAAGATATTCCTTGGTCATGGATTGGAAAAATCAATATCTTTAAAATGTCTATACTACCTAAAGCCATCTACAGATTCAATGCAAATTATTTTTGCAACAAGTTGTTGATGTTGGTCAAATACTCAGCACTATAATGAATACCTGGGATCACCAATGGATTAGCCACAGTCCATTCTTTGGAATGATTCATATTTTATGTCGGGGAAGATGTCCATCAGACTGGGAACCAAGAAGAAATATGCTTATCATCCTGAGACTCCAGCACCAAAAGTATAAAAAAAAGTTGCAAAATGGGTGCAATTTGGTATCATTGTAATGAATGGCTTCTCAATATATGACCTGATCCCAACATCCCTTCCAAATGATATGCAGTCTTCTTAGGGATTTTCATGAACAGAAATAATCCCAAACATCTGGCATTTAAACAAGAATTCCTATATATTACTCATCAAAATAAGGACTCCCCACAGCACAAACTGCATGCTTTGGCAGAGGTGAGGCCCAATTCACAGTGGCATCAGCCCTGCCTTGCATCAGCCTTTTGGATTCTGACAGAGGCCAAGATGTAGACATGATAGTCTACAGCTCCCACTCATGGAAGCTGCTCCAGGTTCTTAGCCTGAGCCAATCTCTTGAAGTTTCTAAAGAATTTAAAAACCACCACTCATCAGTAATCTCTGGCCACTAATTTTACCTACTCTATAGGGGTTGTGGGAGGACTAACGAGTTAATAACTTACAGGATTTAGAACCTTCTGCTATATGAGAAGTATCATGCAAGCAATAATAAAAATAATTATTATTATTATTATTCAGCTGTCAGCCCAAATGTATTATGAAGTTGCTTTTTTTTTAATTTATTTATTTACTTGAAAGTCAGAGTTACACAGAGAGAGGAGGAGAGGCAGAGAGAGAGAGAGGAGACAGAGAGAGAGAGAGAAAGAGAGAGAGAGAGAGGTCTTCTATCCACTGGTTCACTCCCCAGATGGCCGCAACTGCCAGAGCTGCACTGATCCCAAGCCAGGAGCCAGGAGCTTCCTCCAGGTCTCCCAGGTGGGTGCAGAGGCCCAAGGACTTGGACCATCCTCTAATACTTTCCCAGGCCATAGCAGAGAGCTGGATCAGAAGTGGAGCAGCCAGAACACAAACTGATGCCCATATGGGTTTCTGGCACTGCAGGTGGCACCTTTACCTGCTAAGCTACTGTGCCGGCCCATAATTGCTTTTCAAATGATAAGCAAGTAGGAGACAATAGGGAAGTTAGTTCATAGACTGAACTTGAGACATAGCGAAAGTGTACAATTGACTGCAAAATTCCATTTTTTTAAATTCAAAAGCACATCTGTCCCTGATTATAAAAACAGTGATCATGCCCTCATGATTAGGATTGGCAAATGCCATTTGTGTGTTTGTGCACTTGCTGCATGTGTGTGTGCGTCTGTGTGTGTGTGTGTACCAACTCTTTATAGCAAGCCTATGGACAGCTATAGCAGCCTACAAGCACATTTTAAATATTATGGGCAGTATCTCATTTTCTCCAGAAATTCATCTTCTCATTTCTCTTATCCACGCTAATCGTCACGAGGTCTTTTATATTCCTGTCTAAAATTCCAAAATGGGAATGATATTTTGAACATGTCTTCTAATATATTTCTTTCCACTTATTTTACAGTTCCCCTTAAAACCATTCTATTATTACAGGCCGGCGCCGCGGCTCAATAGGCTAATCCTCCGCCTAGCGGCGCTGGCACACCGGGTTCTAGTCCCGGTCGGGGCGCTGGATTCTGTCCCAGTTGCCCCTCTTCCAGGCCAGCTCTCTGCTATGGCCCGGGAGTGCAGTGGGAAACCAGGATAAGCACCTGGCTCCTGCCTTCAGATCAGCGTGGTGCGCCGGCCGCGGCGGCCATTGGAGGGTGAACCAACGGCAAAAAGGAAAACGTTTCTCTCTGTCTCTCCCTCTCACTGTCCACTCTGCCTGTAAAAAAAAAATCTATTATTATTAAGAAGAAAGGGGGAGGGCATAAGTGCCGAGGCAGAGCGAAGGTTATGACCCAGGGGTTGCTCCCTTCAGATATGAAAGGAAAATATGAATCTCATCCAACACCATAGAAAAGACATTGAGCAGAGAAAGGGGGAAGGCAGTGGGTCAAATCTAGGTGTCTGGGCTCTTCCTGCCACCTTTGAGTTAAATCTTAGTGTGAAAAGGAAGTAGTAGGTGTTCCCAAACTGGTTTGAGTGATACTTTCTTCTCAAGACAGATGCTATAGGAAGCTGTTAGATTCCTTGAGAAGATAGAATTTGGGCATGCAGCCAAATGCATAAGGGAGATATCCAAGCAGCTCTTCATGGCCACAGATAGCATCTAAAAGTCCCATTTGGCAAGTCCAATTAGGAGAGAACGCTACAGAGACTGGTGGGGCACTATGGGATTGTTGAGACTGTTCATAAACCATGGCTTAGACTTCAGCAACGGGGGTTACCATGATGCGACCAAACTAGATGAGTTCAGTGACATTTAGCAGGTAGTAGCATGGTACCCGTGGTGAGAAAAAGCAGAGGACTTCTCAGAGGGATTCTGTGAAAACCCTGCAACGTCCACAACCCACTGCCCAACCTCTGCTGCCTATACAAACTTGCCCTGTGATTCCTGTGAAGAGGGATGATAGACAAGCTCTCCTAAAAGGGTTCTGATTGGGACTTTGTACTCTCAAATAACTATTTGAGAGAAGCTCGTAGAAATGCATAGATTGGCCGGTGCCGTGGCTCACTTGGTTGATCCTCTGCCTGCAGTGCCAGCATCCCATATGGGCTCCAGGTTCTAGTCCCAGTTGCTCCTCTTCCAGTCCAGCTCTCTGCTGTGGCCCGGGAGTGCAGTGGAGAATGGCCCAAGTGCTTGGGCTCCTGCACTCGCATGGGAGACCAGGAGAAGCACCTGGCTCCTGGCTTCGGATCGGTGCAGTGCCAGCTGTGGCAGCCATTTGGGGAGTGAAGCAACGAAGGAAGACCTTTCTCTCTGTCTCACTCTCTCTCACTGCCTAACTCTGTCAAATAAAAAATAAAATAAAATAAAAATAAATGCCACAGATTAAGTAATTTTAAATTGATGAGATCCATTTCTCTACTCTACCATCAACAAAACTGAGGAGTTGAAAGCAAGATGAAGCTATCTGTGGAAAATTAAATCATATGTTTTTACATGTCTGGTTGAAAGAATTCATCTAGGGACCAGCACTGTGGCGTAGCAGGTGAAGCTGCCGCCTGCAGTGCTGGCATCCCATATGGGTGCCGGTTCTAGTCCCGGCTGCTCCACTTCAGATCCAGCTCTCTGCTATGGCCTGGGCAAGCAGTAGAAGATGGACCAAGTCCTTGGCCCTTGCAACCACATGGGAGAAATGGAAGAAGCTCCTGGCTCTTGGCTTCGGATCAGCCCAGCTCTGGCCATTGCCGTCATTTGGGGAGTGAATCAGCAGATGGAAGATCTCTCTCTCTCTCTCTCTCTCTCTCTCTCTCTCTCTGCCTCTCTATAACTCTGCCTTTCAAATAAATAAATAAATCTTAAAAAAAGTAAAGACTACATCTAGATAGCTGACAGTTAAAGTGATGGAGTGTCCAAATTTTCTGGGACAGCCAGTATGACTCAGAAATAGTCTCTGCCATTGTACTCATAGGTTTTATTTGCACTTAGGAAACAGAGAGTATCATACAAAAAGTGTTATTATTTCACAAATGGTTAATTTTTTAAATAATCTTCTCACCTAAAAGAAACTATTGCTAAATATGTAGAAAATAAATAACATAGGCTTCTCACACTACGCAAAACTTCTCTTCCAACAAAAGGTTACTCCCACTTGCTTTTGAGAAAGAAAATTTTTCTTTTGGCCTCTGACCAGATAAAATCTACTATATTGCATATACAACTTGTGAAAATAAGGCAAGTGCCCAATAAAAATATTACAGCCAAAGAAAACCAGAGAGAAAATTATTACAAAATCAAAAATTAAAACATCCACAAAGTCTAATAGAGTAGAATAGATCTTAAAATGGAAATCTGGATACAAAGAAGTATATTAAAGAGCCTCTGTTCCTTTACCAAAGACAACATCATCCATATCTCTCACACCAAATTTGTTCCCAAATCCCAGAAAAGCCTGGCTTTTTTCCAGGCTGGAAATAAATCTACTTTATAATAGTGCACATTGCTGTAAGTGGAGCAAAAAATAAATAGCTGCCTATTTACCTTAGGTCAGCATGAAAATCTGAAATTATGATTGCAAAAAAATAAAACTGCTAACTTGATAAAACATCATTTCCTTGTTAATGGAAAAATGCAAAATGAAGTAAAGCAAGTTGTTATTTTACAATTTTTAAATTAAGGCAGCAGGGGCAAGCACTTAAACTAGTATTTAAGAGGCCTACATGCCGTACTGGAGTACCTAGGTGCACTTCCTGACTCTGGCTCCCGACTCCAGCACCCTTGCTAATGCAGACCTTGGAGAGCAGCAATGATGGCTCAAGTGATCAGACTCTTGCCACCCACAAAAGACTCGGACTGAGTTCCTGGTTCCAAACATCCCTCATCCTAGCTGTGCCCCAAACATTATGAGCACTTAAGTAGTGGACGAGAGAATGGAATCTCTCTCTCTCTCTCTTTCTCTCTCTATCTCTATCTCTCAATCCCTTTTTAAGTAATTCTAGTGAAAATGTGAACTTTGGTGATGTTTCACTCATGCAAGTGCACTCACTACTGATGGCCTGTAATATCTGAGCAAGTAATGTATCAATAGTTAAGAAGAGCCATAGAGAAGTCCCCAATCTCTAAACAAGAGCACTGTAATCCTAATCCTGAATATTTTCCTCAAAAAAGAATTTTAAAAAACAAATAGCTACATGCACAAAGATATTTACTGCAATATTTTCTATATAACCAAACTAAACAAAAAAATGAAAAGAACTAAATACCCAAAATAGGTTTATGATACATTAACATAATATTCTGCTCTCTTGAAATTACTTACAATGCAAACCACATGAAAATATGGGACTATGTTTGTTATATAGTTAAAAGGAGAAACAGAATATCAATCTGAACATCTCTGTCAAAAGATGTGAAAATGTTTGCATGCAATATGAAAATAATAAACACGGCTTTATTTGAATAATGGGGTTCTCTTGTTTCCTTGTTCAAAAGCACTTTAATATTACTTCTGTGATTTTAATAAACAAACTTCCTTCCTCAAATGTGTATTTTTAAGAAAGGTCTTTCAAATGCAATGTGGCTGTGATATAAATCCAGATGGAAAAGTCACAATGTATTTGAAGAATTTTCTTTCAAATGTGGACAATTTAGTGATTTAAAAAGAAAGAGAAGTAAACCGGCTGGCATGTAGAGCACTCTCTGGAAGAAGCCCATCTCACAGCCACTATTTCTTCAATAAGGAGAGGCCAGGTGATAGAATTTCTGTGTTTTGTTTCAGTTTTTTTTTCTTTTTGAAGGTTTCTATGTTAACTATGGAAGGTGTGACATTGAAACAATAAAAAACAGAAAATTCACATAGGTTAGCTACTCTACAGAACTGCCAAATCTGAGAAGAAAAGAAAACAGCTGCTTTGACAAGACGTAGAAACTAAATAAGATTCTCACACCTAAGAAATTAATGCCCCCACCGAAAGTACCCATAGGAGCTTTTAAAATCAAAGTTAAAAGTGACTTATGGGTAGCCATGCATTGGACAGAGCCCAGGATTTGAAGGTTAAAGTGTTTTCGAAGGAGAGAATGGAAACCAAACTTAATTAAGTAGAGATGAATAGTAAATTGAATTTAGTGCTCAAAGGTGCATTATACTTCGGAGTTGTACTCTTTAAACAGCATAGTAGAGCAGAAAATGGGCGAAACCAGGTGTCTGAAGATTGGGTGCTAATCACAACTCTGCCACTGCCTGATGGTCTCAGAGAGGGAAAATCTTAACCTCTCTTATTTTTGCTTGTGTTTTATCTGAAAAATGGAAGGAATTAGGTTACATTGCCCAGGTCTGCCCCAGGACAGATCCATTTCTGATGGCACTGTTTACAACACTGGTACTAGATGTTTGGGCAGTTAAAGATCCTTTCAAAGAGGGTTGCTGTTAATGGATATTTCGCAGGGAGTAGGTCTCCATGAACAAAGCCCTCCAGCTCAGATCACCAGAAATGCACCGATATTGACCAAAGTTGGGCTTATTGTCCCATTGCAATGTGGGAGACATCACACTACAGGGTGATACAGAAGAATCACCGTGAGGGGTCTAAGAATGACCTGGTGTTATGGTTTGGGTTTGTTAGGGAATTTAAAGGAAGACAAGAAGTATGTTGTTGTTTTGTTTTTAATAAGGTGCTATGATGAAGTGAGGTAAGTCTTTCACTGAGTCTCTTATTAATATTTTTTTTTCCTAGTAGACAGGAGAAACAGTGAAGCTAATGCTATAATTGGTTAAAAAAAAAAAAAAAAAAAAGGAAGAAGTGTTCACTCCTAGCAGCACAGCTAGTAGAATGCGTGGGTCCTTTGGTTTGGTTTAGATCGTGCTGTTTCTCACTGTGTTCAAGCATGTTTACAGAGTGATTCTGTTTTTATCTTGCTCCATTCATGATCAGAAAGAAGTATTGCCTGGTATTGATATTCTGTGAAATTGTTTATATCCGGCAGAATCCATGGTTCATCTAGATGTTACAGCCAGACAGCTCCAAGCTGACAGCAGTCGGGAAATATATTTCTTTCTCACCATGAAAAAAATAATTAACTCCAGGCATAAGTAATTAGCTCAGATGCCAGAAAAGGAGGCCTTAGGCTGCAAATTATTGAAAGGTAGTCAATCTATAAAGCTGAAGCCCTAGGAAAATGAGCCAGAAAACAAGTAATAGGTATTGACTTGGAGAGGGAGCAAAAAGACAGATATATGAGCAGATGACACAGGATAATGCTAGAACAAACTCCTGGAATACAGAACGTCCACCAGGTTGCTCCTTTTATGCACAGAGCTGGTAGGGATTATTACTAGGAAAGATTTTTAAAGGGATTAACCTTGGTCAGACATAGTAATATTATCAACTATTTCCTAGCTCTACAGTTTTATGAAACCTTTCTCTAAGTGGTATTTTATCTTAAAGACAAAACCGATCGATGTTTGAAATAACAGATATAGATCTATTTTAATAATCATTTAAAACACAATCAAGCCATTATACGATGTACTCATTCAATCTCTGAATTGTCTATTCATGGATCAAGAGACTACCATTGCTTTCAAAAATATAGACATACTACACTTGCTCTTATCCCAAAGGCTGAGAAGTGATAAAAGCAGAGACATACTATTTATATTGTTTATACATGGGAAAGAATATGCATTTCAGATTATATGGAACCTTTCTGGTTTTAAAGAATAAGAACCACTTCCAGAATAGGGTATCTGCTCACATCAGAGCATGAAGTCTGATTTTTTTTTTCAAACATTAAAAAACTTGCCTTGCCATTGCAGATCTACTTAGTGATGCTGAAATTCACAGTCCATAATGGTTAATTGGTTACACATTCTGGTAGGCATCTGTAGGACAGGAGTTGGAGAACACTGAAAAGTGTTTAAATAGCACGTGCTGCGGCACAAAGCCTCTCCACCATACATCTCTGGATCTCCTGGGGTTTATGATGAGATTTCCATGACATTAGACACCACACAGGCCTATCAGTATCCTAGGAAGTCCCCAGCAGTTTTTGGAAGTTGCAGCAGTATTCATAATTGCCTGCAGAATGACAGAATAGAGCCGGTGTTAGTTCCAGTAATTAACTTTGCAGCACCATGGGCAGGAAACCCCCTGCAGAGGGCATCAATAACTCTGTTCCTCAGGGGGAAGTCTTGCTGGTGCCCGGGTATAGCTGTGACCTTTGGCAGATGGAGTACTATTCGACTATCAGGAATATCAGGCAAATAAAAACAATAAAAGGAAGGCAATTTGCTAAATGAAATCTCCATGAGCTGAACTGCCTGTAACAATCCATCAGAACCTCTGAGGATCACCCAGGAGGATTTTAGCCACCTCCATAACTCCAGCTCATCGTGCAATACCCTCTCCCTCTTTTGAAAAATTTTCTTTCTTAAATATACAAGGAGTAAATAGAAATGTATTTGGTCTCCATCCATTTAGGGCCTTATTTCCTGGTCTCTGCTTTAAAACTGTATGTATGAGTGTGTGTGTGCACTTGTATCTGTCTGTATTCATATTATATGTGAAGGTATGCCAAAAGGTTTATAGAAAAATGAAATTGAAAGATAGTGAAAACCATGCATCATTTTTTCACAATATGAATTTTCCATCACTTTTTGAAGACCTTGTATATATACAAACATACATATATTTATTTATGATTTAACACACATTGTCATTGTTATCTGATCACAAAGAAAAAAACCACACACACACATAAGAATGTTTCCCTCTCAGGGAAAACCTCCATACAACCTTTTATAAACGAAGTTCTAATGGAAAAGAAACCACGTCGTTATGAGCCATTTAGACTTTCTTAACACTCGCATTCCCCTGCTGTTATTTGTACCTCAATTCAACCTGTACCACCTCAGCGTCCAGTGACGGGAACATTGAGCTTTGGAAAATTGCCAAACATTGTAACAGCTCCCAGAGAGTTATGTGGGGCTCTTGAGGGATGACTTTCTGCACTGCACGCTCACAATCAGTGCCCTGCACCCAAGAGTGTGCCTGTCCATGAGATGCCACGTGGGGCATGGTTCAAGGCCCTGGTTCCCATGCTGTGTTGCATGTCAGAATCACCAGAAGACATGTAAGAACCTCACAAAACCCCTTCCAGAACATTTTCATTAGAATCTCAGCTAGTGGACCCTTCATCAGCACTTTCTAAGGCTCCCCAGATAATTCTAAAGTGCCAAGTTTGAGAACCAATGGTTTAGGAGAAGGGAAAAGAACAAATCTAACGTCAGCAAACATCTCATTACTGTGACTCAGTTGAAACAGAGCCAAGCTAATTCCCAAAGATATTTTAGAGCCAGTCACCTCTCAGAATGAGGGAGGGGATCAAAGGACCCTCTGCAGTTTCAGCAGACACTGCATAGTGCTACAGTGCGTGCAGCTGCTGCACTCTGCCATGGGCAGACCAGGACTGAGCAAACCTTTTTTGCCAAACCAAGAGAAGAGAAGACACTGAGAGAAAGTACAGGAAGGGCTCTCTCTGAGCTATCTGCACCCCAAGGGACATGACTTCCAGCTCCCTAGGCCCATCCAGATCCATGATAATAAAACCACCTTCCGAGTGTGCACAGAATCCCAAGTCAGAACACTCTTTCCCAACTTTTCTGGACCCTTCCCAACTGTTCATCCCCATTTACTGCCTCTGGTTGCAAGCCTTTTGTGGGTATCAGGGAGAAAAGTTATGATGACAAACAAGCTTTGACATCAGAGAACGGGTGTGTGAGGACAACCAGGATACAGACATGGGTGACTGTGATTCTCTCTGAAACCAAAATTTGCTGTACACTGCAGCCCACTGGTAGGACTCAATTCAGAGTTATATAGTCCAGTCAGTGTTAAAACTTATGCACATACAGGAGAGTACTGACAAATTTGTTTTTATACCTTATTATTTAGTGACTTTCCCAGTCTGTAGAATCTTAGGTTACAGGACCCTAGCTACTAGCTCCATATCTACTTTTTCAGGTTTTTTGGCTCCTCTATTCCTATTTAGATGGCATAAGCATGGTTGCCCAGAATATTTTAATTCTTTTTTTTAATCTTTACTTATTTATTTCTACTTTATTTGAAAGGCAGAGAGACAAGGAGATTGATAGAGAGATCTTCCATCTGCTGATTCACTCTCAAAATGCTTGCAAGAACTGGGGCAGGGCTATGCTGAAGCCAAGAGCCTAGAATTCAATCCATGTTTTCTATATGGGCAGTAGGGACCCAAGTTCTTGAGCCATCATCTGCTGCCTCCCAGGGTGCAAACTAGCAGGAAGCTGGATCAGAAGCAGGGGAACCGTGATGCAAACCAGGCACTCTGATGTAGGATGCAGGCCTCTCAAGCAGCACATAACTGCTACACCAAATGCCTGCCCCTCAAAACATCTTCTATTTAACACTTAACAAACATTCAATAAACAGATGAATTATAATGATATCTCTTACCATTGTGGTATTTATACAGGCACTTTCTAAGCACTTTACATATGCATATATTAACTCACCTAAGCTTCATTAGGTCCTAAGGGATGCTAGTATTAGGCCCACGCTACAGTTCAGGTTTGTGATGCACAGAGCACAAAGAGGTTAAACTACTTGATGAAAGTTAAAGAGCTAGAAAGAAATCACAGGACTAGAAGAGCTGCGATCCCAAGCCAGGCTTGTGACTCTATCCATTATCTCTTTGTGAAGAATAAATGAATAATGAAGACTTTTCCTTACTATTGACTATCTCTTCCTTTAGACCACATTGATTCCTAATGTTTTGCTTACTGTTCCATGCAAAATATATTAAATATTTGGCATTGACATAGCAGCGATTGCTTCTGACTGTTGTGTTCCACTGTGACAGTGGTGCAGAACTCACCACATCAGTCCCACCATGGAGACCCAGGTTACTTCCAGCTAAAGCTACAACAGCAAGTAGGGAACATTATAGTTTGCATTTGTCTCCTGTGGGTTTTGTAAGAGTTTCTGGAAGGTCCAGGCAGGAGTAAACCACACATTTAGGCTAATAAACATGACACACATCATCAGTCCACTCTACAAGAGTGCTAGAAGAGTTTACACTCTGGACAACGGTGCATGAATAAAAGAGTGCTCTACAGGGTCTGTAACCAGGCAAAACTGAACAACCAAAAGTAATCTAGAGTCTTTCTCATTTTTGAAGTTTTAATATTTATTTTGATAGTAGACAGAGAAAAACAGACAGAGAGAGCTCCCATCCACTGGCTCACTCTTTTTTTTTTAAGATTTTTTATTTATTTATTTGAGAGGTAAAGTTACAGACAGTGAGAGGGAGAGACAGAGAGAAAGGTCTTCCATCCATTGGTTCACTCCCCAATGGCTGCAATAGCTGGAGCTGTGCTTATCCGAAGCCAGGAGCCAGCCAGGTGCCTCTTCTTGGTCTCCCATGTGAGTGCAAGGTCCCAAGGACCTGGGCCATCCTCCACTGCTTTCCCAGGCAAGAGTAGAGAGCTGGATTGAAAGAGGAGCAGCCAGGACTCGAACCGGCACCCATATGAGATGTTGGCACTCCAGGCAGAGGATTAACCTACTGCGCCATGGTGCCGGCTTCTGACTCACTCTTCAAGTGACCACAATGGCCACTGCTGGATTGGGGCAGAAGCTGGAGACCAGGAATATAATTCAGGTCTCCCAAGTGTGTGACAAGAACCCAGCCATTTGAATTATCACCCCTTAGTCTACACTGACAGGAAGCCTTGAGTCAGGAGCAGAGCTGGGTATGTAACCCATGTATCCCAATACAGAATCTGAGCATCTTAAATGGTGTCTTAACTGCTAGGCTCAACATTTCTCCCTAATTTAGAGTCTCTTATTCTCTAATTGCCATGATTCAACCTAACCCCTTTCTAGTGTAAGCCAACGTTCTTAAGAATTGTTGCAATTATTTTTACTCTCACTAATGTATTACATACCATTAATACCACATTCCAAATCCCCCAGTTATGATTTTAAATATAACTTCACTCTGTGAATAACTCATAATGTATAAAAGCTACCATGTGTACTTTTGTTTTCTACTTGACAACTCAAAATTAAAATTGAAACTGTAATACATCTATAGCTACAAAGTGCACAAATATGAACTTGGCAATGGTGCATTGCTCAAGAACAACCTTAAGAAATATCAGTATTTTGGAGTTTAAAAGCATTCTGGGGGCAGCAGCAGGGAAGAAAAAAGAATAAAAAGAAATTTTACCCAACATTCAAACCACCAAGAATGTGCTGGCCAGATTCAGATTGTTGGCAGGAAAAGATTTTTATAATTTCTTTTCCATAATTTAGCTTAGCTGGATAATTGCATTTAGAAAAATAAGAGAGTAACCACAGATGTGTATGTAATGGAATTTTTAAAAATATAGATATACCCCTCATGGAAATAAAAGAGGTAATAGAAAGCTATCATTATCAACTTTAGAACAAAAGTTGTATTCACTCCAACCAAAAGAATAATTAAAATCAGCCAGGAATACATAGAATGCCAATGTTATCTACTTGTCATTTTAGAAAACTAGGTTGACAGCTGTATACCCTTCTCATCAACAGTGAAAAACATTTCTGAGGAACAGATCAGTTTCCACAGGTATGGGTAACAAAGTCTTCCTATGCAAGCCAGTTTCGCCAAAGAGTTCCAAACTCTGAAGCAGCAGCTTTGGGTAGGATGATTCTTGGTTCTGCATAAACAGCTGAACAATCTGGGAATAGCATCCTGGTAATCACATGTGTACAGGCTTTGAGGGGTATCTGAGAAGCTGTTACACTAATTATATGATCCTGGGACAGTCCTGCTGCTCCTTCTGAACGTTCCATAGGAGAAGCTGTGTCCTTGCCTTTTCTGGCTTCCAGGGGCCACCTGTACTCCTCCACTCTTCTCCCTGTCAATGATCACAGCCCTCTGACCTCTGCTCCCATCATCACATCTCCTACACTGATCCTCTGGCCTCCCTCTTTGATTTATAAAGTCCTGTGGGATTCATAAGACCCATCTAGATAATCTAATTCAACAGACC